GGGAGCTCTCGCAGGCGCCCCCAACGGCCGGGGCGATCTGAAGCCCGCCCCGGGCCCCCCCAGCCCAACCTAGAGAAAAGGCCGTCAATGGAATCTACCTTGGCCATATTAGCCGCCGCCAGTGAGCAAGAACTGAGCATCTTTTCTCTGCGGCCTTCTCGCCCCCGTCACAAGCAGCGCATTCATACTTCCTAATCCCAGTTTCCAGCACTCCCCGATTCTTACATAATAGCCAACAGCCCCGAGCAAGGGCCTTCCTTTCTGCACGCCTTTCAGAGACGTGTCATTTCCAACATCAAGCTAATCTATATGTTGCCATGGTTCCACGCTTTATCTGCCTTTACATCTTATGAACTGCATGGATTTACCACATTATTTTTATCTGAAAGACAGAAAATGGTGGTTTTATTGCCATACAATCAGATTACTGCTGCTACTTTCTCTATGCCCTTTTACCATACTTCAATCAAAAGGGATCAGTTTCTTTATACGCTGCCCTTGATTTACATTACATCTGTAAGGACCTCGTCTGGGTTGTAATCCCCTTATTAACTATGACCAGGGTTGATTTGCCTAAAAATAAAAGCAAATTGTGTCAAACCCTTTCACTTTGTTTTTGATTCGGAACTACAAAATGGATTACTAAAGAAATCTTCAGAGTTCACAGGGCTGGTACCGTACTGAATTTAAAATGAGAATTAAACAAGTTAAACAGGGGAACCATGTCAGCGGTTTACATCTTCCATCATGGGAGAAGGCTGAATTGCTCCTGCCTTTGTCTTCCTTGGCTATGGGGAGACAATGAAGCCGCAGGAGTTTTTCCAAGCTGTTCGGAACACAGTCCCGTTTGCCATCCTTCCTTCGTTGCTTTTCTTCTATTCCTCTCCCAGGCCATTCTAATTCTTCCCTCAAAAAAAAGGTGGGGGGCGAGGAGGTGGGGGGGAGGAGAGGAGAGGAGGGCTATTCCCTGAAAGAGCTAATTCCTGGCTAGCAGCTTAGCGTTCTATGGCTCCTGCATATTTTAATCAAAATATTTTAAACAGTTGAACACTCCTATTTAAGGCCCGGCTCCACTACACAAAGGGTGAGCTCATAAGCAAATCTATGTAGATGTATGATAAGTGACCTGAAAAACAGGCTCTTTATGTCAGCTGTGAAGGCCGGCAGGGATTAAGCACGGAGGAGCACTCATTTCATCACTATTTTTCTTAGAGCGGCACTTAACTTCACCCAGTCTAATTTGCAGTGGATTCCTTGGAAGATAAAGTTTTCATTAAAAAAAAAAAAAAGGAAAGAAAGAAAAGAAAAGTTGACGAGATGAGATATCCTTCCACAGCCCGGGCTAGGGGAGGGTCCGGTGTGCCTTCGGGGGTCTCTTCCCTACTACTCCTGTTCCAGTGCCCCCTGCTGGGATCTCAAATCGGTTCCCAGTAGGCCGAGGCCAGCAAGCTGGCCTGCCAGGGAAGTCCCCAGGCCTTCACGCAGGACAGCGGTGACCCCACAGCACCAAGGCAGCACCCCTCCGCCGGCCGCTGACGATGGCATGCCACCCCCCTCCCAACCATCCGCTTTGGAGGAGAGGTGCCCTGAGGCTACCCCAACAGTGGGCCCCAGCTTGGGCCTCTCCCACTCAGGCCGGGCTCCTGGACCCCTCTTCCCACAGAGCCTGTGCTTCCCCCGTCCTCAGGACCCAGGTTCCCATGTCCGGGGGGGTCTGGGACGGCCTGTGCCCAGACTGAGTCCAGAGGAACTGTCTTCTGGGCCGGGGGCAGGCAGGAACCAACGGTCTGCTCCAGGGGGGTCCAGGAACACCAACAGCCTCTCACCTATAGCCTATCAGCCGCTGGGGAGGAACCAGCGAGCACAGCAAGTGAGCGGACGCACTCCCAGGCTCACCCACCCGGGGCCTTTGTGCTGTTCTCTCTCTATATTAAAACCGACAAGATTAACCCAAACACAAACTGCGGAGCATAGTTCAAGGGCCTATTCAATCAGAGCTGAATGTGCATTTGTTTACCTACAAAAATAAGAATTTCAGACACAATGGAAGGCAGGCTGGCTTATATATGGCCCTGAATGGGCTGTTTAAACAGCGCTATCCATTGTCGTTTATTTTATCAATCCCTGACAGCTCTATATTTATTCAGAGCCTGGCTGGGGTGAAGCCCAGGCATTGTGGGTTATCTGGATATCGTCCAGCCATTCTTTTGTATCCAGTCAATCAATATCAGGAATTCGGTATGATCTCGAGGGGAAAAAATGACATGGGAAAACGCTTGGCTCACGAGCTGGTATCTGGGGCCTAGGGGAGAAGCAGCAGCCCCAGAGAGAAGAAATTCAGGCGCCACCAAAGTTCCCAGCAAAGTCAGTGCGATCCGTCCTAAAACAGTGTACCAACCGAGATACGCACATTCCAAAGTGAAATGAATGGTTTGGTTATGTTTTTAGAGGAGCCGACCATTTTATTTTGGCAAAAGCATGATGCTTGGGGGGGAAATGGTTCTACTGAAACGCTAATTAAAAATGGAAGTGAGGCTTTTCTCTCTTGAGTTTGAAGGGGGGTTCGGGGGGCGGGGGGAGAAGCTCGGCAAGCTCAATGCCACCAGTCACCCCAACTTTCCCCAAGCCACTGGGTACAGAATGACCGGGGCTCGCTCCCCGCGGGGAACTTCTCTGCATACCTAGGAAACTCTCACAGATGGAGCAGAGGCAGCCCGTGCCCGTGGAGTTATGGAGACCGTGAATTTACAAAGGATTTTTCTGGACCCTCAGTTCAAACAGCTGCTGCCCGCTCCCTGCATCCACCACCTGCTCGCTGACCTCGTATGAAACAAATCTAATTACTGATGGCTGCTTCTTTACCAACGAATCGTCCCCCCACCAGTCGGCAGAAAGTGCCTCTGGTCACCTTCCCTGCCCGCACACCGTCTCCCACCCAAGTCCACCCGGGGAACCAAAGTTGCACCAAGAAATACAGCAGGTTTGGGGGCGGGAGGGGGGTTCTGTGGTTGGTAAATCCCACCTCCCCCTTAGAGAAAGCCCTCTGCCCTGCTAGCTGGGGCACCCCTCCAGCGGCCTGCCACTGCATACTTTGCTAAGCAGACCTTTCCCCGAGACAAATTACCCCGTCCTCCAGGCCAGCCATTATGGGGAGAATTTACAAAGAAACGCTCGTCTCCAGGCCCCGAGCGCGCGCGCGGGCGCGGGCGCGCCCCGCCGCCTCCCCCACGGGGGACCGCGCGCCCCACGCAGCGCCCCTCGCAGCACCCTCCGGGCCCTTTGCGGGAGACCCCTCGGAGGCCAAACCTCCGAGGGCGACGGCCACCACTCCTCGGCTCCTTTTCTTTCCATCCCCAACCCCTCCTTCCCCGCTAGTCCGTGTTTCTGAGCCCCCTCTGGGGGCCACGCGCGCAGCCCGGGTCGTGCAGAGGGCGCGGGGCGCATCCCCGGGGCGCGGGGCTTGGAGATCCCCAGCTGCGTCTACACCGACATCCATCCCGGATCGCGGGGCGGGGAGGCTGCGCCCCCCCCAACCCCCGAGAGCCGCGGCCGTGCGGGGCGCGCGGGCGGCATCGCGCGTGGAAGGGCGACCCCTGCCTGCGGGCGCGGCGCGGCGGCCCGGCCCGGTTCCCGGTTCCCGGTTCCCGCGGGCCGGGTGGCCCAGGCCGGGGACCCGCGCCCGGAGCCCGTGCCCAGGTGCCCAGTGCCTGTCTTCCCCGGGTCGCACCGCCCCTGCCCGGGCCGCGCGGATGGCTGGGTGGGTGGGGGGCGTGGGGGGCGCGGGCGACGCGGGGGGCGCGGAGGGCGGCGGCCGGGCGCAACTTTTCCCCGGCGGTGGCAGTGGGGCTGGCAAGTGCCCGCCGACCCGAGCCTCATTCCCAGCCGCGCCGCCTGGCACAGCCCGGGGACCCCGGGGACGCGGGGAGCGCGCTGGGTGACCGAGTCGGGGAATTTGCAGCTTTACCCCCCACTTTCCAAAGAATGGGTGCCGTTCTTTAGCGAAGACGTGGTTCCTGAATCCACACCCCCTCTCCCCGCATCTCTGGATCCCACATCCACGTCCCCTATGGCGGGACCCCGGTTAGGCCACGGATGTGTATTCTGCGGGAAAGCGCGTCCGACAGGCGCCGGGCCGCGGGGTGCCGGTTCCCGGGCTGGGTGGGGAACTCGGGGAGCTTCCTGGGTGGGTGCGGCGCTTCTGCCGGCGCCCGAGGAGACGCTGGCGACACGGCCCCGCGCGCAGAGGGCCGGCCCCGGCCCCGCAGATCGAGGGGTGCGTCCCCGGGCCAAGTCCCGGCTGCGCGCTGCTGGCGCCCCGGGAAAGTTCTCCGGTCCCGGCCTGCTCCAGGCCGCCCGATCTGACAACAGCCAGTCGGATCCCAGGACTCCCCGAACCTGCCTGGGCGTCCCCACACCCATCCGCGGGCGTGTGGGGGTCCTTGGCACCGGGCCGTACCCTTTGGCTGGAGGCGCCCCCGAAAATCCCGCCCGCGCTCGGGGCCTCGGATTTGGAGGCGCGGGGCAGACCCCCAGCCCCAAGCCGAGCGCGCATCCCGGGGAGGCTGAGAGGGCTCGGGGTGCGCCTGGGTGGACTCACGGGCCGCCTGTCCGCCCAGGTCCCCGCGCGCGGGGGACGCCCCCGCGACCCGGCCGGGGCGCCTCTCCCCCTGCCCGGTCCGCGATCACATTCTCCATCCCCGCACAGAAGCCGGGGGTCGGGTATCGCCACCCGACACCTTCCCGGACGCGACACCCGAGCCGCCGCCGCCAACGCCGCCGCCGCCGCCAAGGGCTCGGCAGCTCCGGGAGCGGGTGGGGGGCGCCCCCGGGAGACAGGGTGGCGGGATGGAGAGCGGGGGTCCCCTCCCCGGGAACGGCGGCGGGAGGTCCGGGGCGCGCGGCGGCCGCTCGGCGGCGGCCCGACCGAGCCTCCCTCCCGCCCGGACGGCGCGGCGCGGCGGCGGCGGGGGCGCACGGGGGGCACCGCGGACGCCACTTACTTGGAGTTGGAGGAATTCCAATAGATGGGCTCTAAAACTATCGACCTGGAGATGGCAGTTCTGCATAAAACCATCAAGAATCCCCAGCAGTACTTCCACACCGAGTCCCTCCTCGGAGCCATGGCCGAGCCGCGCCAGGCTCCGCGCACTCCCGGCGGCGCAGGGGACGGGGCGCGGGCCGGGGGGCCCCGATCCTCCGGGCGGACGGACGCGGCGACGGCGGCGGGCAGCAGCTCCGGCGCGCTCCAGCGGGGGGCTTCTCAGGGCGCGGGGCGGGGGCGCCGCGCCGGGCGCAGCGGGGACCGACGGCGGCTCCCGGGCGGCTCCAGGGTGCCGGGCGCGTCGCGCACTATAGATCCAGGGAAGCGGGCAGCGGCCCCGGCGCGCGGGCGCCGCGCGGGCGCGGATCCATGTCCCGGGGCTGCGGGGCGGACGCGGGGCGGCGAGGGGCGCGGGCCGGGTCGTCGCGGGCCGCCGGACCGCCGAGCCTTTGTGTGCGGGGAGGGCGCCGGGAGCAGCGGTGCGCGCGGGTCCCCGCCGAGGAGAGTCAGCGCGGCCGGCGCGCTGTCAGGCCGCTATAAACGCGGGGCCCCGCCCCGCCGCGCACCGCCCATTGGCCCGCCGCGCCTCCGCCGCGCGCCGGTTGGCCGGCCGGCCCGTCCGTCCGCCGCCCCCGCCCGGCATTGGGCGCCGCGAGGCGGGGCGCCGGCTGACAGGTGAGTCCCGCCCCCGGCCCGGGCGGCGCGCGCCGGCCGCGCTCTCCCGCGGCTCCCCCCGCGCGGCCGGCGCGCGGGGCCTGCGCGTGCACCGCGCGCCCCCCGGGCCCGGGGTGGGGGGCGCCGCGGCCACTTGTCCCGGCGCCCCGCGGCGCGCCCCACCTCGCCCGCCCGGCGTCCTGACCCGCACCGGGCACCACGTCGAGGGCGCACGAAGCCCCGAGGGTCGCTCCGAGGGTATCCCCGAGGGTCCCCCCCCTAGACGAGACGGCCGGTGAGTCCGGCCCCGCGCACCCGCTCCCCGCCCGCGCGGCCCCTCGCTGCCCCCCACGCCGGGGCTCCGCGGGGTGCGTGTCCCACCTGGTGGCTGGGCCGGACGTCGTCTGCGCCCCGGACCGACACCAGGGCGCGGTGAGGGGCCGGCGCCGCTCCGAGGGTCGCGGGGCAGCGAGGAGGGGGCTCCGCGCGCGCCCGTCCAAATCGGGCCCCCCGCACCGCCCGTCTCGGCGTCCCCCTGCGCCCCGCGAGTGCCGCCCGCGGGACCTGGCTTTCCAGCGTGGCCTTAACCCGCAGACACGCTCGCGCCTCCCCCAAGGTGACCGGGCGTCCGGGGGGACGGGGGCACCCGGCGCCCCGTGGGAGAGGCGCTGCCCGGCTGCGCTCGGGATGGGGCACCCGCTGGCTCGCCGCGCTTTGCACGGAGCCACAGCGCCCACTAGCGACGGTGCGAGCCCCGCGCGCCCCAGCCGCGCGCCCCGGGGACGCTCCAGCCGCGCGCCCCGAGAGCGCGGGCGGCGCCGGGGTGCAACCGCGAGCCCCGGCGGGGGAAGGGCGTAGACCCGCCCGGGGGCACCGCGCCGAGCCGGGGGGGCCCGCGAGCTCCCGGCTGCGGTGCCCCGAGCCTCCATCTCCCCGGCCGCGGCGCCTGCGCGACCCGCGCCCGTCTGGAACCCTTGCCCGCTGCAGACGGTTGGAGAACGGCCGCGCGCGAGCGTCTCGGCTCGGGACTGGATTTCCCGACGCTCCCCCAGCCTCGCTCACTGCTGGGCCGTTGCTTTCGGGAGGGTTAAATATGATTTTCACGCTGCGCAGTGATCGTTTTCCCCCAAACTGTTGGAGAGCTCAGAAACGCCAGGCGCGGGCGCCGCTCTCTTTCTCCCTGGGAGCTCTCCAAGAAGAACGCGATTTCCCCTCCCCGTTAATTGTTCGTTTAAAAAAAAAAAATAAAAAGATAAAAAAAATAAAAACGCCCTCGGTCTTGAAGGAATGATTTTTTTTCCCCCTTAAGACTCCAAGTCCGTAAGACTGGGTAACGCAGGAAGGGGCCTCCTCGCACGGGAGGAAAAATGGGTCGTTTTGGAAATCGGCGTTGAAACGTGGCGGGAAAGACTGGGGTGGCTTGAAAAGTTCGTTTGCCCACCTTTCAAAAGAACGAAAAACCGGCCTCCGTGCATCTTTCCGCTCTTGGCAAACTTAAGACACGGAGACTCAATTCTGACCCCGTAACTCCTGCATCCTCTCTGCAAGGGAATGAGAGGAAACCAGGAAATCTGTCGGCTCAAAATAACCCTGCCTTCCATTTTTAGTAAACCAGATAGCCCCGCATCTAGCGCTTTTTTCCCCCACTAGGGAGAAATAGAAATGTGCGTTTTTTAAATTGCTTTCCCTTGTTAGTGTGTTTAGCCTCCAGAGTGCTCCCGAAGCATCCTGCGCTGTGACGCACCGGAGAGAAGGTGGCCCTGAAGCATCTCGGGCATGGGACGGGTCCAGCGCCCCACAGAACGAACGGCGCAGCTTCAAGCCGAGGGTCCCACCTCTGCTGTTGCCTTTGTGATCATCATCTTAAGTTATTAGGGCCGACAATCGCACGGACTGTTATGCCAGGCCAAAATAAACAAGTTGTGTGGATTTGTGCCAGGCATTTTCCAGCACACCGAAGAGGTTAGAACCAAATCGCATCAGTGTAACACCTGGCTGCAATTCGGGTTTCATTTCTCAGGGGTGCTGGAGAGTAGCAGTTATTCCGAGTATCTCACTTAACCATTAAGGACATTCTTATCCCTGGGCATCACAATGAGATATTTTAATTAAGCAGAAATTACCGCAATTGCTTCTATAGTTAAGAAGTTTCTAACTATAAGAAACTATAAAGTCAAAAGAAATTTGGAGGGAACATCGGTTATAAAAACTGGCAAACAGAAACATGAATAAATGGGTAATAAGGAATTAAATACCAAAAAAAAATGGTAACTTTTTCATTTGCTTGGGGAGGTTACTTTTCCCCAGGCAAATGTATGTACCTATTAGGTTCCTGTCTCTTTGAATTCCCAAGCCTACTTTGGTCTTTAGAAATTAGGGGATTAAAATTTTCAAACCCATTCCAGGTGTAGTATCCCAATTCTAGGAGATACTCCAAGACATCTAATAGTTTGAAAAAAAGAAAAAGGAAAAGGAAAGAAGAAACCATATGTGCCTTGGAGCTGGCCTCATGAGTGGAGCACAGGCTTTTCATGCAGGGGGTTCGCTGCGTGCAGTTCCTGTGGCCTCACCACTCCATCCACTGGAAACGGCAACAGAACCACACTCCCGCACCACTACCCAGCACCAACTCTAATATTACAAACGTTGAAATGCTTGCTTAAGTCAGGTGCTTCCAAGGCGGCTGGCAGCCCTGATCAAACTGCAGGCTGTATTTCCAGCAGTGCACGCACGGATTCTTTCCTAGTAGTCACTGAACTTCAAAGGGCATCTTGTTCTGTCTGAGGGCAAGATCTTCCATGAAAATGAAGTAAAACCCTTTCTTAGCCTCAACTTTGGCAGATGCTCCTGTCTCACCTGTTTGGTTATAAAATTCCCCCGCTTTACACACTGAAACTGATTGTGGAAGCAAACTTATTACACTGAACCTTTGGTCACAGAGAAAAATTTCCCTTTGGGAAAGTTTGATGACAGTGCAAACCTTAGAGAGGACAATACATACCCTATGGAACCCAAATGCCATCATTGTCCACTAGTCACTGAAACCATCGATCGCTATCTAACTTTAACACAAAAGCCACGCAACTATGTTAGAGCTCGTGCTTGGACTCCGGGCAAGAGACCTTCACATCCTTCCGTAGATCTTTGGAGCTGCATCAGACACTCGGAATTAGATTACCGTGATGTATCAGGAGGTAACAGCCAGCAGTAGTGTCAATTTTTATCACTCTTTAATTCTAGTATTTTAACCTGTATGAACAGATTTCTACTTAATGCACCCATATGTAATATATTTGTTAAAAATTTACTGTAACATATAAGATGTATTACTGGCAGCAGTCATAGGAATAACAATCTCCCTTAACGAGTCCCTAAAATCTTATTTTTGCGGGGCCGGAGCAATAGTCCAGTGGTGAGGGCATTTGCCTTGCATTCGGCCGACCCGGGTTCAATCACCCATAGGGTCCCCCAAGCACCTCCAGGAGTAACTCCTGAGTACAGAGCCAGGAGCAACTCCCGAGCATCGCCAAGTGTAACCCAAAAAGCAAAGAAAAAAATTAAAAATTAAAAAACATTTTTGCTCCTCTATCCCACTTTAGAAGGAAGTTTAACCGTATTTAAAATGAACTAGTTAGGTATTCCTGTTTTCCTTGTCATTTACTCAATGGTGAAAACCAAGAAAATGAGGAGACACTCATCAAGAATTGACCCCCAATAAACCAGGTTTCATTCCTAGTTCAGTCTCATCCAACTTAGAAAATGCCATCTGCCCTGGGGTTGGTGGGGACCCTCAGATGGCCGGGCATGGTCTGTCTTCATACATGGGAAGAGCAACGTGTTATCAAAAAGTAGGACAGTTTTCTGCCCCGTCATGTGGGCGCTTTGGCAATCATCTTTCCAAACACCTTGTCCTGAAGTTGTGGTCTCACACCTCTCCATTTTAATTGGTTTAGTGGCCCTCCCACAACTGTTCCTGAGCTGCCAATTGTGTATCTAAGAGCAGCAAATACACGAAGGGTCCCGCAGCATAACCTAAAATGCTTAAACCAGCACGGAGGAGTCACAGTACGGAGAGGGTAAAGGATTAGTGAGTGCAGGTTTTTCAAAATGACACCACCAGGGGGTTCCTGTCTGAACAAAATCAGAAAACAAGCAATAAACATTGCAAGTAGGAGGTGAGGGAAGGGGCCGGTGCAGTGCCAGGCACCAACTTGGCCAATGATAACCCTGGTCTGTTCAAAGTTGCTTCTGGGACAGATGTTGGGACATCCCAACATCCTTCTGCCAAGGGCCACTGGCATCTTCATAGCATCACTCCCTAGTCACAGGGTACAGGAGCTGAGCTGGGGCACCAGAGGCAATTCCACGTGTCTGTCCCGACATCGCACCCACTGACTTTCCTGTCCTCTGCTCAAGTCTTTGCCTCCAAGGGCCCTTCCTCTCAGCTGACCAACTGCAGGGTTTGCGCGTGGACTCCTGGAAGGAACGAGCAGCCCGAGAAAGATGCCTGATCTGAAGAGCTTCGGGACTGGACCGCCAGCCCTGGGGCCACGGGGCAGAAAGCCCTCGACCACGGGAAAGAGGTTCTGCTGTCAGAGCAGCTCCAAAGAAATGTTGGTCCCTCCAAAGAAGGGACAGGAGGAGGAGGTCCCGACTATAAAGCGAGCAGGTGCCTGGAGATGAAGTGAGGCATTAGGAGTGTTGAGAGTCCACTGGCCACCGTCAAGTCTCTGTGCGAACATTTGCAAAGAAACAAAAGCAGCTGGAAAGGTGAAGGTGCAAGTCACGGACATAAGCACAACGGAGAGTCACGGCAGGCAAGTGAGGCTCCAGGAGCTGAAGAGCCCCTGCCCTTGTGCCCACCCCAGTTGCTTTCAAGTGTCCGTCTATGCAATTACACTGCAAACGCCACCGTATAAATGGGAACGATGCGCTGTAACTGCTATTAATAAAAATAGAGCCAGTGGTTAGTTCTATAATGGATATGGAATAACTAAAACTTGAAAACACAGGAAGAGTTAATCTACTTGGAAACAGCTGAACTAGTTCACCGGGACAGAATCTGAACTTCCAGAATATGTACACAACGGCCAGGAGAAACAAATGAAGAGAACAATTACACATTGTCACAGTACAGAAAAGGTTGGGTGTACTTTATTAACAATTACATCCTCTTTCCTGAGGCCTGGCACAGGAACAATTTCAACATGTGATGGGAGTCTCCAACAGCAAGCAGATACTTCCACACGTCACCAGGGAACTTACTGTCACTTCACAGGGACGTGGCAGTAAGAAATGT